GGATGCACATAGCAGGGTCGCCTAAGTTACGCCAAATCTTGTGACGTGAATTCCAATAAATCAACTTGTACAGTGCACTATAGTCATAGTCATAATGTGCTAAGTTGACTAGTACACTGTATGAATACAACATGATACTAGTAAATTCCATGCGGTGGAGGTTGTAAGCTTGGCGACGTCTTATGAACTGAATTTTACTCAAAGTCAGACGCGAACGTGTAGAAAGCACATAGAAGTGTCGCCTAAGTTACGACAAATCTTGTGACGTAAATTAAGGTAAATCAACTTGTACAGTGCACTATAGTCATAGTAATAATGTTCTAAGTTGACTAGTACACTGTATGAATACAACATGATAATTGTAAATGCTTTGGGGTGGAGGTTGCAAGCTTGGCGACGTCTTATGAATTCAATTTTACTTAAAGTCAGAGGCGAACGTGTAGAAAGCACATAGAAGGGTCGCCTAAGTTACGACAAATCCTGTGACGTGAATTCCAGTAAATCAACTTGTACAGTGCACTATAGTCATAGTAATAATGTGCTAAGTTGACTAGTACACTGTATGAATACAACATGATAATTGTAAATTCCGGTAAATCAACTTGTACAGTGCACTATAGTCATAGTAATAATGTGCTAAGTTGACTAGTACACTGTATGAATACAACATGATAATTGTAAATGCTTTGGGGTGGAGGTTGCAAGCTTGGCGACGTCTTATGAACTGAATTTTACTCAAAGTCGGAGGCGAACGTGTAGAAAGCACATAGAAAGGTCGCCTAAGTTACGACAAATCTTGTGACGTGAATTCCGGTAAATCAACTTGTACAGTGCACTATAGTCATAGTAATAATGTGCTAAGTTGACTAGTACACTGTACGAATACAACATGATACTAGTAAATTCCATGCGGTGGAGGTTGTAAGCTTGGCGACGTCTTATGAATTCAATTTTACTTAAAGTCAGAGGCGAACGTGTAGGAAGCACATAGAAGTGTCGCCTAAGTTATGACAAATCTTGTGACGTAAATTCCTGTAAATCAACTTGTACAGCATACTAAAGGCATTGTCGTAGAGGGCTCAGTCATCACGTACACTGTACGAATACAACATGATAATTGTGAATACCTTGCGGTGGAGGTTGCAAGCTTGGCGACGTCTTATGAACTCAATTTTACTTAAAGTCAGAGGCGATCGTGTAAGATGCATATACAAGGAGAGGGAAAGTTATGAACAATCTTGTGACGTAAATTCCGGTAAATCAACTTGTACAGTGCACTATAGTCATAGTAATAATGTGCTAAGTTGACTAGTACACTGTATGAATACAACATGATAATTGTAAATGCTTTGAGGTGGAGGTTGCAAGCTTGGCGACGTCTTATGAATTCAATTTTACTTAAAGTCAGAGGCGAACGTGTAGAAATCACATAGAAGGTTCGCCTAAGTTACGACAAATCTTGTGACGTGAATTCCAATAAATCAACTTGTACAGTGCACTATAGTCATAGTAATAATGTGCTAAGTTGACTAGTACACTGTATGAATACAACATGATAATTGTAAATGCTTTGGGGTGGAGGTTGCAAGCTTGGCGACGTCTTATGAACTGAATTTTACTCAAAGTCAGAGGCGAACGTGTAGAAAGCACATAGAAGGGTCGCCTAAGTTACGACAAATCTTGTGACGTGAATTCCAGTAAATCAACTTGTACAGTGCACTATAGTCATAGTAATAATGTGCTAAGTTGACTAGTACACTGTATGAATACAACATGATAATTGTAAATTCCGGTAAATCAACTTGTACAGTGCACTATAGTCATAGTAATAATGTGCTAAGTTGACTAGTACACTGTACGAATACACCATGATAATTGTAAATGCTTTGGGGTGGAGGTTGCAAGCTTGGCGACGTCTTATGAACTGAATTTTACTCAAAGTCAGAGGCGAACGTGTAGAAAGCACATAGAAGGGTCGCCTAAGTTACGACAAATCTTGTGACGTGAATTCCAGTTAATCAACTTGTACAGTGCACTATAGTCATAGTAATAATGTGCTAAGTTGACTAGTACACTGTATGAATACAACATGATAATTGTAAATGCTTTGGGGTGGAGGTTGCAAGCTTGGCGACGTCTTATGAACTGAATTTTACTCAAAGTCAGGGGCGAACGTGTAGAAAGCACATAGAAGGGTCGCCTAAGTTACGACAAATCTTGTGACGTAAATTAAGGTAAATCAACTTGTACAGTGCACTATAGTCATAGTCATAATGTGCTAAGTTGACTAGTACACTGTACGAATACAACATGATACTAGTAAATTCCATGCGGTGGAGGTTGTAAGCTTGGCGACGTCTTATGAACTCAATTTTACTTAACGTCAGAGGCGAACGTGTAGGATCCACATAGCTGGGTCGCATAAGTTATGACAAATCTTGTAACGTGAATTTCTGTAAATCAACTTGTACAGTGCACTATAGTCATAGTCATAATGTGCTAAGTTGACTAGTACACTGTACGAATACAACATGATACTAGTAAATTCCATGCGGTGGAGGTGGCAAGTTTGGCGACGTCTCAATTACGAATAAAAAAAATAAAGAAAAATTTTCTAATTCGGGAAATGCCTCCTAGCTTATAAATAGTATAGACCCCTAGATATGGGATCGTTCCTATAAGATATAGATGACCAGTTCATACAGTGTACATATCGATTAAGATCGTTGATCAGAAGATATGGTACAAAGCAAAATAGACTAATCAGGTGCCTTGATATCTTTAAGTCAATAATGCCGAATTATACGCAACAATAGCCGGATGCTGCCATCATCCAGTTCGATCTGGTTAATGTGCTATTGAATGGCATGTTGCTCGGTCTCTAGTGGTATATAATTCCACCCAATGGCAATAGGACTATGATGCGTCGTTTGATGTGAATGATTTATTGATCGTAAGTAAGACCATTCATCCCCTAGTACTGTGTACGTAAGTTTCGAAGCTTTTCTACACAGAACGAAAAGTGGAATCATATGTCCGTGATCTGTTAGTATCTAACATACAGCATGTTCAATCGACTAGTACAATGTACGATTACAACATGCTACTAATGAATCCCTTGCGATGGAGGTTGCAAGCTTTGGAACGTTTTATGAACTGAATGGCTGAAGAATAAAAGCTCCGATAGTACAGATTACAATGTTTCGAAGTTATTATACGTTAAAGAAATGTTGTGCGATATCTCCGATAACCAGTCAGTACAACAATCCAACATATAGCAAATTCAATCTACTAGTACATTGAACGACAAAGTTCATTACGGTTCGGCGAGCCTGAAATATTCGTGTATCGAAGGGCTGAATAGCGGAGAGAATTTTCCAGTCTTTTTGCTCAACTTTTGACGGTTTACGAAAGTTTTATTTACTCAAATATTGAATGGATACTACATTATATATTTGATCATATCATACAATGTACGATATATTCAATCAACTTCTATGGTCATTGAAAAGCTAAATCAGCTTTACATGATTGAATGATTCTAGCGATAAAGCAGGAAAACTTTTGGTTATTCGGACTAGTTGCATTGCTTTCTGGTTCACCGACATTACAACGAATCTGGAATATTTGCTAAATTTCACAACAGATCTTGATGATATACAATCGTTTTTGTTACTTGGATGTCTTATCTGTTATATAAGTTTCTACTTTTGAAATTATTCAGTACCAATGATAATTTCTTTTATACCACATCTTCAATCCACTTGCTTTACAGTACTTGAGAAGCTTACTCATATTTTAACTATTCACTGAGCGTACTATACCTCAGGTATTTGACATCGTAAGTTACATTGTTATTAGTGTTTTGTATAAGATACTAGATTTTATTTTGTATCTTAGTGGATTTGTTCATTATGAGCTTTAAAATTTGGTTGTATGATGTTTGAGCATTATAATATTAGTCTTATATTGTATCGCTCTTAATTTTTACCTAGATTAGTGAGCAGCTTGTCTGGAAGCTTGGTAAACTTGTGCAGTTGTTACCTTAGAAATATTTTTAAAGGTTAGTTACCGATTTTCTAGTTGGGAAGTATTTTGTTCCATTTCAATATTTCATTTGTTTTGGTGTGTAGGTTTCCTGACCATTGTTTGGAAATTTCGGTTTTGTTTTATCTGCTAACAATGCCCGGTTATAAATATTGAATAACTAACATAACTTGTCGTGGGACACGCGTTGGCAACGAAGTCCCTTTCGCTATTCAACAAACTATAATTTCCCATTTTCTACCGACTTAAAAAACGACATAAAATTTTTATTGAAGTACATAACATTTTAAAATACGTGTGAGAGTGGGAAAGCGATGTCAGTGCGAGTGGGAGAGAGAGATAGACGAACAGCAGCAGCAGAGAGAGAGAGACGAACAGCAGCAGGAGAGAGAGAGAGAGGAAAGCTGTGCTTGTATTGTATAGAGTAGGGTTAGAAAGAGAGAGAGAGAGAATGGGGACTCTCGTTCGCATTGCATGTTAACGCTCGCCGCATTACGGTTTTAACTAACGTTTAACTATTTGCCGGCTAGTCCCCCCTGCGCCGAGCCGCGATAAGGAACTTCGTTCCATTAACTTTTGAAAAAAACTAATCGGTTTAAATATGTACTTTGTTTCCTTCTACTTCATCTATTTCCTTAATAAATTATAGATCTTTGGTTTCGAGATAGGACTGGTCAACTCATGCGCGAAATGAAATACATTTAATTAAATTTATGTCTTTGAAAAAAAAAAATTTTTCAATAGATATATTAAAGATAGTATATAGTTCATGGTTGATAGTTTTCATTTGTCGTAGTTTAGATATTTATAAGAAAACAATTGCTTTCCTAAAAAATTAATATTTGAATTTTTTTAAAAATTAGTTCGTTCATTCTGGTTCATTTTACGGTTTTGGTCATTTATTTTGAAATATATACGATTTCTTACTTTTCAGACAAAGTAGCTTTACAAAAAAATGAAATTTTCGCTCCTGGAGATAATTCTAGTAAATTATACGATGTATCATTTGTGAAAGCAGCCATAAAAACTTGTCCGAAAGAATTTGCTGAGTCATTGTATGAAAGGAAAATGATTCCATTGAATTTACGAGTCAAAATATTGGAAGAAATTTCAAATGGTAAAAAACCGTCTCGAAGTAATCTTACGAAGATTTATAATGATATGACCAAATACAATTTCCATCTCCATATGGTTGCCCAAAGAGTCATTGATGCAGGTAATTTTGAGTTATTTAATGATTTTGTTGGCCTCATAAATTACATCCAAGAATTTTTTCGACCGCTTAGTATGATGTTATAAATATTACAAGATAAATGTTATCAGCTCTTATTTGTAAAGTTTAAAAGGAACTACTCATTGTATTTAACATAGTTCAAAAGATTATACAGACCCACAAAAAAAATTTAGGTGGTTCTAGGATAGAGACTACTACTAGTTCTTCTAGTACCTCTACTTCTTTTGTATTTTTGTTTGTTGAATCCGAATCCGTTATTGAAAAGAGGTGTTCGGCTGCAAATTTTAAAGACAACCTTAAAAAAACTGTTCAAAAGCCTAGTATCTGTAATAAGAACTTGAGTATAAAAAACATTATTTCCTTCACATCAAAAAACTCTTTATTTTTATATTTTTTGGCTTGCTGAATCCGGAATTGTTATTATATAAGAGGTTTAACCGTCGAGTTTCGTAGATAACCACAAAATCTGCCCAAAAACCTCCTACACAAGATCTAAATTGGCTTAAGCTTGCCTATACGCTCGTCATCGAACGACCTATGCAATGGATTTATACGCCGCTTTTTGTTATTAGAATGAACATCTCTTTTTAGCATCCAACAATAGCTGGCTATCATTTTCACGTTCCATTTTCCTTGCTATCTACCTTCAAATTCCTTCATGTCCCTAAGAAATCTTTCACCTTGCTCTTCACTACACTCCCCTAGGTTTGTCGGAAATTCATTGATGTGCGAATTGAAAAAGCGAAGTTTTAAATTCATTAAGCAACCTAAATTTTTTAAGTTTTCTACCATAATTTATAAAACGCTCCAATAGTTCTCATCTTTATTGATACAAAGAAATTTCGTTGCGACATCTTTGAAGCTCAACCAAACCTTATTATCATTCATACTTTTAACTAATTCTTCGTCCCTGAACATTTTGCGAATTTTTTTTAATGGGTCTGTGTGATTATTTTTGTATTTATACTTATGATTTTCTATTCCATACGACATGTTTATTTTATTTTTTATACAAAACATATTGTTCTTTTCTTCAAGTATATCTGCTTTTTATTTCCAGAGTTAACGAAACACCTGATTGTGCTCTTTGACTGTAAACCATTAAAAATTGAACTTACTAAGCTCCCTTTACATAATGAAGAAAGTATGCAAAAAATTATAAATATACCTGAGTCACGTGTACTTAGTCATATACAGAGTAAATTGCAAACCCAAAAAAAAATTCGAGAAATCACAAGTAAGTATGACAAGAAAATAATTTTTCGACTTCTGAATACAAACATTCACTTTGAAAAAAGTCCGATACTGGCATATATATGTTGATGACAGTCTAAAACTGTGAAAATTCGATTTTTATAATTTCATAGGTGATTGAATTTCAAATTTGAAATGTATATGATGTAAAGTTGTTATTTCATTTCTATTATGCATATTAATGCAACATATCTTTTTCAAGGTTCCAAGGAACAGCAGCCAGCAGCACTCAATTTAGTACATATTGAACCAGATGAATTTGCAACTGTGAATGTGAATAAACTTGTAGACATTGTTCAGGACAAAGAAACGCCAGAGATTAATTTGGAAATTTCTTATCCTCAAACTGTAGACTTGCAAAAAACCAAAGACGAATCTTTAAATAATTTACACAAATCGCCGACGTTTCAATGAAATGAATTTGTAACTGTGAATGTGAATAAACTTGTAGACATTGTTCCGGACAAAGAAACGCCAGAGATTAATTCGGAAATTTCTTATCCTCAAACTGTAGACTTGCAAAAAACCAAAGACGAATCTTTAAATAATTTACGCAAATCGCCGACGTTTCAACGAAATGAATTTGCAACTGTGAATGTGAATAAACTTGTAGACATTGTTCAGGACAAAGAAACGCCAGAGATTAATTCGGAAATTTCTTATCCTCAAACTGTAGACTTGCAAAAAACCAAAGACGAATCTTTAAATAATTTACACAAATCGCTGACGTTTCAACGAAATGAATTTGTAACTGTGAATGTGAATAAACTTGTAGACATTGTTCAGGACAAAGAAACGCTAGAGATTAATTCGGAAATTTCTTATCCTCACACTGTAGACTTGCAAAAAACCAAAGACGAATCTTTAAATAATTTACGCAAATCGCCGACGTTTCAACGAAATGAATTTGCAACTGTGAATGTGAATAAACTTGTAGACATTGTTCAGGACAAAGAAACGCCAGAGATTAATTCGGAAATTTCTTATCCTCAAACTGTAGACTTGCAAAAAACCAAAGACGAATCTTTCAATAATTTACGCAAATCGCCGACGTTTCAACGAAATGAATTTGTAACTGTGAATGTGAATAAACTTGTAGACATTGTTCAGGACAAAGAAACGCCAGAGATTAATTCGGAAATTTCTTATCCTCAAACTGTAGACTTGCAAAAAACCAAAGACGAATCTTTCAATAATTTACGCAAATCGCCGACGTTTCAACTGTTTAGAGGTGCGGTCACTTCAATATCATTTACACTTTAATAATAATAAAACAAAAAGGAAATCTGATTTGCAGTAACCTCCAATATTTACGATGCGATAAGAGACGTTTATTGGACTTTCGGTCCTCAGCGGATCGCTAGAATCCAATCAATATCTCTTATTAAATGGTAAATTATGAAATTGAAGTAGAAACCTATGTGTGGACCTTTTGAAATTTTTGAATTTATTTAATATGCTCTTTTTTTTAAAAATCACGTCGTTATGAATCACATGATTGATCATTTGAAAAGTTGCGTGTTGATGATAAATTATCATCGAAGTCTTGCGTGATAATTAGATAATTATTATTATTTATTACCAGAGTACATACAAAATACAAAATGATATAATATATGATAAATCACATACTTGTCAATCATTATATGCACACACCAATCGAATTAGACTAAAAAATCTTGAAACACGGATGTAAAAGCAAGAGATGAGATTATTGATGAAATTGATTTAAAATAACGAATGTTGTACTAACCTCAGCGTCACAAATTTCCGTGAGGGTTTTGCATAATTACTGTTTATAGTTAAAATGTGCAAAATAGGTATTTTTTGACTTATTTTCTAGGTTTACTCGTTAAATATCAATCTAATGATGAATATGTATAGAAATAAAGTTGTAGGGCGTACAATTTTCAATAAAAGTCCATGATTCAAAATTCATAAATTTGATTTGCCGCGGCTGTAGTGGTTGAAAACATAATAAAAAAGTTAACAAAAAATACTTTTATTTCCCACAGAGAATTCAAATTGAAACTATTTATGGATTTCATTGCAAATGAGTTTATTTTGAAATTCAAATCTTGACAAATCGATTATAAAAAATATAATTTAGATATTTTATTTAGTTGCTGAGTTGTCGAATAAGTTAATTAAAATTTTATAAATTTGATACACTTGTTTGCAATGATGTACATTTCAGATAAAAAAATTTTTACAGTTGCCACGATATCTTCACTCAAGATCTTATGTTTGAACTACCATTTGTCGTAATTTTTTCAATAATTAAAAAATTTTAAACCACCTATAGATTTTTTTGAAAATATGTTGTATTTTTTACGAAAATAAATGAAATATCAGTGCTAGTTTTTACTGTAATCAAAATATTACAAAACTACTTTAAAGTATTCAGAAAAATATTTCTTTTGAAGCTTTACCCGTTCATTTTTGAGCATTGAAACTTTAGTTATGGAATCGCAAAGTCAATGAGCTGTACTCGGCAATCAAGTTGCAATACAAAGGCAAAAAAAATATCATCTTATTGGATTTCTTAAATACTATTCATATACTGTCAACGAAAGAATTGAAAACGTGTCATTGAATTCCAATTAAATCACAAAGTAGAGTCGATTCACACTAAAAGCTCCACTTCTTATTTTTAATCAACTGGACTTTTATTGTAAATTTATTCATCGCGTTCTATCAGATGTCTATCATATATATTTTCTACGTATTTCTGGTATTATTCGAAAGATGATTGATTACGTGATTCCGTGCAATGTTATGTGTTTTTCATAAAAGTGGCACTTCTTTCCTTCATCGTAAGTTGCTCCCAACTCTTAAGATTGGAGAGTTAATACAAAAAACTACGTTAGCCAATCCTAAGAGCCATTGAAAAGTTAGCTAAATCTGAGAGAAATTATTGAAAACTCGTTTATTGGGCTGATTGAAACAGGATAATAAGCTTCAGAATGTATTATTTCCTTAGTTTTTAGTGATAATCATAAATCTAATGGGTTGGAAATAAGATTACGAGTTAGCTAAAAAATAAGTGCCACTTAATTTGTTACGTCAAAATGTCATATGACTTTTCAAGTGACAAAATAAATGATTCATCGCGTGATTATTTTTCAGTTTTATAATTCTAGTAGGCTATGTTGATTTATTTTCTTGCAAAAAAATGTAGTTGACTGTCTGACTGTATATTATGAGCTATATATATAATGAAATTTTTGCAGAGCAAGTGGAAGCAGAGTTAGATAAAGCTATATTTCGGGGATATTCTTATGGTAAAAAAATTGAATGCATAAAACGATGTTTAACGTAACTAAATAATAATATGGCATCAATTTTGCAGATAGCAACAAACAGATAATAATGATGAGAAAGTTGATTATTCTTAATTTGATCAATGAAAATCATGAAAGTTTGCATATATATATGAATGGTAGTAATTCAATTTTACAAAGAAACATTAAAGAAAACATTATCATGACTTTATATGGAGAGGTCACCAATGAACTGATCACTCTCTTAGATTTAAATAAACCATATAGGTTATTGATAAAAAAGAAAGTTAATTATTTTGAAACGCTTCTGAAAAGTCAAAATAAAAGCTTAGCAAATATTGTGGAAGGAGTATGTTTCTTCGAAGACTCTGAAATAATGTTTTATGAAGGTATTGTATTTAAATATCTTTATGTATCAGCTACTTAATTCTTGCATTAAACTTTTCTGTGTTCAAAAACAAAGTAGCAAAAATTAGAAAAGCTAATTCCAATAAAATTACATACAAAAAATCGATAGCAGAATAATTTTTACGGAAATATATATTGATTTGAAAGATAATTTGATTGAATGTAAGAATATACTAATCTATCTTGTTCAAAATTTTGTATTAGAGTTGAGCCCATAATGAATATCTGAAATTTTTATTTTTTAACTTAGATTTTTGAAAATTTTCACGTACAACTTGCAAGAAGAAGCAAAATTTTAAATTAGTCTTCTTTATTTTGATTTTTTCTAACTGGAGTTGAAATCCAATTACAAGTATTTTTCGTATTGATTGCAAAATGCACTTTTATTTGTTATATTAAGACCTATAAGACGTGGTGTGATATTTCTTTTTATATAAATTTTCAGTCAAAATGGACAATGAAACGTAAGAAATTATCCGAACAAAATTATACATCTTTTTATACTTCGTAATTTATTACATTAGCATTCATACTTCCATTTTTTTGTAATTCAGGAAATTTTATGCCAATTTTTCAGTGGTTTTATTGGTTATTAATATAAATACATGTAGACTGGTAAAAAGTCGTTTTTCTATATTACATTGTTATGCATTAATCTTAGATAGACTAATGGGATCAAGCATTTATTACTACTTTATTTCCTATATGTATTCAAATCAAGAACGAAAATTCTATTGGATCATGAATTTTTTTAACACAGAATGCATAAAATGAATAATTTAAAATATCCAAAAATACATTTTTGAGACAGCACAGATATATTATTTCATAAATTTCTTTGAAATAATCGATTATTACTTTTTTCAGTTTTGAATGCAATAAGGAATGTAAATAAAAGTACTTCTGAAAGGAAAAATGAATCTGCGTCTTGAATAGTATATTCTCTTTCACTCACAGTTATCGTAGTCAACTAGAAAGCAAATAGCATACCATTTAATTAATTTACTTACGTTCCTAAGTAAATGATCAAGCTTCATTTTGTTTGATTTATCGATAAAATTAAAATTAAGACAAAACATGAAATATTTTATCAATAAAGTATTCTTCTAAAATTCTTAAGCCTTTTTCATTTTTATTGTATTAATTATTTGATGAAATTTTTAATACCAAGCATAACCTTAAGTTTTGATTATATTATTATGTATCATATATTTCATAAAGTTAAAAATAAGGAATAAAATAGAATATAGTAGCCTATCATATAAGTACCTAATATACAGCTCTCATTTTCTCTCTCTCTCTCGCTCTCTTTTGCATGAAGTGACGAAACGTAATATAGAAAAATTTGATTTATTTTTTTTTCCTTGTGGGGTGGCTCTCAAAATTAGGATTAATATTTTACTTGAAGAAAAGGCTCACAGTGGGAAAAATGGAATTTTAGAATTACTAATAATTATTAAAATGTAATTAAAAAAAATATTCATGATATTCTAATAAATAATTTATTAATAAATACAATCAAAATATTTATAGAGTTGAAGGGAAATTGAGAACAAATAATTATTCTTTAGATACATAACCGTAGTTGAAAATATACGATCTTAGTTTTTTGTTATCTCGGTCTTTTAATACAGGATATTCCGTTTTCATATTCTCCATGTACTCGTATATCGTTGTGACTTTATACACTGGATTATTTCGTACATATTCTTTTACTGCCATTTTTTCCTCCGAAGTCCACGACACCACGGTCTTTTCTGTATCATAAATTGATGAATTTCTGCTTATTCGTTATTTCAAAATTAATATTATTGTAAAATTGATAATTATTAAAAATCTATGGTGCCAAGAATTATAATAACAATAGAATAGAACTTATATAACTCTATATAACTCGATTGCTTTCACAGAAGAAACTTTGGTTTGATGAAAAAAAATTTTTTTTTCATAAAAATAGTATAGAAGTGTATTTAAATTTAAAAAGAAGTGTATTTAATTTAAAGACAGGAACCAGAATCCGTTGTTTTGAAAAATGTGTTTGTGTGTGTATGTATGCGCTCGTCGGTATCAGCAGGAGTGTGCAACTCCTATTAAATCCTCCATTTAAGTCTACTACTAAATATATAATAATATTTATTTCTAGTTTTGTATAACGTACATCGTTTTCTACATTACCACTTACATGTATGTCTTCACTTGCCGTTGATCCTTCACTTTTTCTCTTTCCTTTTCTCCAGCTTCCACTAATTTCCTTTACTTATAACTTTACTTATCCTTAATAATTCGGGAGCTACTACTTGACACGGTGCGCACCTCTTACTCCTCCAACCT